TTAAACTGTTAGCAGCAGCTGATATTTCAGATGGTCCCCATATCCCACAGGACACCTTAGGGCTGGGGAAAAAGGGGCAAAAGAGCAAAGGGTGGGGGAGAAGGGCGTTTTCTCCGGACCTCCCTGAATCACATTCTTTTGGTGTGAAATGTTGTTTCATCCAGACCCGAGGTGATTAATCACAGCATTTCCATATTGTCTGTGGAACGAATGTAAAGTCTGCCTTAGGATTAATAGTTCAAATTCACCGTGTTTGAAACGGAGGTTAGATCAAGTCAGTCACTACAACGCTTGGCTTTTACCGCGGTGCCTTGGCAGTGCCGGTGTTCCTGATGTAAGGAAGGGTCAGATGCAGCCACTGCTGGTGGTAAGCGGATGCGGGGGCGAGTGCAGCCTTAGTCTAGGATCATGACGGGGCTGGCACGCCGTCCTATTTATAAGCCCAGAGCCTGGGGTATTGTTGATGTCACATCGTTATAGTACTTGTGCTTTGAGCAAAAGCTTTACATTGATACAATATGCAATAAGCCTGATCAACAAATTCTTTAAGCCTAAATAAGTAAATAAAATCTAATATAACAGCTAGGATTTAGGAGGTGAGAGGGATCTTAGATGATTTAATCGAGTTCTTCTGTTTTTTAGGTGAGGAAACTGAGTCCCTATATAATAACTTGCCCAGGGCCCAGCAGCCAATCAGTCACCTATTTCTAATACATAACAATACCCCATGCTCTGGTTCCAGACTTTTGTTTGTAAGTATGAAGGTGCTGCCGTGGCTACCAGCCCAGAGAACCATCATGGAAGAAGCACCGAGAAAGCTTTCAGACAGCAAAGGTGGAAGTTTCTGGCTGAGTTCCCACAGCTGTAACAGTGATTATGGTGATGATGGTGGTGGTGATGTGATGATGGTGACGGTGGTGGTGATGGTGATGATGGTGGTGGTGGTGATGGTGGTGGTGGTGATGGTGACGGTGGTGGTGATGGTGGTGATGATGGTGGTGGTGATGATGGTGATGATGATGGTGATGGTGATGGTGGTGATGGTGGTGATGTGATGGTGGTGATGGTGATGGTGGTGATGATGGTGATGGTGGTGGTGGTGGTGGTGGTGGTGATGGTGATGGTGGTGATGATGTTGATGGTGATGGTTATGGTGGTGGTGGTGGTGGTGGTGGTGGTGGTGGTGATGATGGTGATGATGGTGGTGGTGGTGGTGGTGATGGTGGTGATGATGGTGATGGTGGTGATGGTGATGGTGGTGATGGTGACGGTGATGGTGTTGGTAATGATCATGATGGTGGTGGTGGTGATGGTGATGGTGGTGATGGTGATGTGATGGTGGTGGTGGTGGTGGTGGTGGTGGTGATGATGGTGATGATGGTGGTGGTGGTGGTGGTGGTGGTGATGATGGTGATGGTGGTGATGGTGATGGTGGTGATGGTGATGGTGATGGTGTTGCTAATGATCATGATGGTGGTGGTGGTGATGGTGATGGTGGTGATGGTGATGGTGATGGTGATGGTGGTGGTGATGATGGCTGCTATTTATTGTGTTCTTAATTAGGGTCAGAAACCTGGAGATGTGTGTGTTATTTTCTCTCTTTTAGAATTGAGGAGCCCTCAGCACCTTCCCCCATCACACAGGTAGGGAGAGGCGGAGGCAGGGTCCGTCCCCAGCAGCCTCTCTTGGAGCCACAGGCACACACCTTAACCACTATGTGGGCTGCTTCCCATGGTATTGCTGGGCACCTCATATGTGGAATTCCCACATCCCAAGTCCTCTTTTGCATTGCCACCCCTGTGAACAAAAGCAGACCCTCAGCTACAGCATCTGCGCACTGCTAAATCCCCACTGGAGACCCTCCAGCCCTGAGCCTGGGGTGGTGACCTCCCACCTGCCACCCCTGCCTTCTGTTGCCTCGCCTGCCATCTCACCAAGAACCAAGCTCTATGGGAAGGGGCCGGGGGCAAGCTATACCCCTGAGCCCATGCCCCGGGGCAGGCGGGGATGGTGGCCAGGGTGGGATGGCTGGAGGCCGGTGGGGACCTCTCATTCGGTGGGTGCCCTGTCCTGGTTTGCAGAACCAGCCTTGGCTCTCTGGGCCTTTGCTGCAGAGTTTGATAATTCCACACTTCTTTGCGTCAGACTTACTGATTTTAGGAATGTCGGAGAACCAGACAGAGCAAGGCAGAACCAAGAGCATATCATTTGCAAAATTACGTTAAGAATTCCCTTCCGTGTTTCCTTTGAGGTGTTTTCAAAGTCTAAAATCAGAACTGATTTCCCTGTGGGGACCCAGGAAACCCCTGGCACACTTCTAGGCAGAGTGAACAATAGTTCTTTTCTGTTGAGGAAATGGTGCTGACATCCTGAGCTATTGTCGTTTAGTACATGTTACACTGATGACCTGGCAGATAATTTGAGAGGCTGGAGAGCTTGGGTGCAGGGACCCTTATTACTCTGAAATGGGAGGTAGGAAAATGATCATGGGGTCCGTGTAAGAAGGCATTTGAGGTATTTCTGTGTCAACCCTTGTCGTATTTCATCCCTTTTGTTAAGCTGTGGTGGTCTGTGCTGTTGGCTGGGCAGTGTGGTTACATTTACATCCAGTAAACTGCAAGCGTGCGCACACAGATTATCCTGTCAATATTAACTGGTTGTTTTAAACATTAATCATTTGTTAAAGATCTCGACTAGGATTGCTTGGCTAATATTTAGACTTTTACCACCTTTTTTAAAATGTAGGCTGTGGGGAGTTAGTGTTTAAGGAGTAGAGTTTCAGTTTGGGAGGATGGAAAAGTTCTAGATGGTGGTGATGGTTGTACAACCGTGTAATGTGCTTAAGGCCACTGAACTGTACACTTGAAATGGTTAAAATGATAAATTTTATGTTATGTATATTTTACCATGATCAAAAATAACACTAGGGAAAACCCTAGACGAGCAGTTGGCAGGGTGGCACCAGGGCTTTGCCCCTGGTTTAACCCATCCTCCAGCTTTCTTTCTTTCTTTTTTAGTGAGGCACAACATACTTACAAAACAGCATATAAAGTGCATTAATCTCAGTCTTAGCTGTGCAGCCCGTTTAATTTTTATGTGTGCTTATATCTCTGTCACCATCAGCACCCAGGCAAGATGTAGAACATGCCAGAGCCCAAGAAGTTTCCTTCAGGCTCCGCGCGTGCAGGCTCCAGACGCGCAGGCTCAGCGGCCATGGCTCACGGGCCCAGCCGCTCCCGTGGCATGTGGGATCTTCCCGGATCGGGGCACGAACCCATGTCCCCTGCATCGGCAGGCGGACTCCCAACCACTGCACCACCAGGGAAGCCCGTTTTTGTCCATTCTTGAACTTCACTTGCATGGAACCAGGCATAATACACTCTTTTGTGTCTGGTTTCTTTCACTTAGCATAATGAATGTGAGACCCACCCATTCATTACTGTATCGGTAACTATTTAAATTGCTGCGTGGTTTCCATTGTATACTGTACCACTATTTAATTTACCCCTTCTGTTGAAGAACATTCGGGTTGTTCTAGGTTTTGCTGTAATAAATAAAGCTGCTATGAACATTCTTTTGAGGAGCCTGTGTAGAGCTTGAGTGTGTTTGCTGAATCACAGGGTGCAAATATTTAGCTTTAGTGAATCCTCCCTGTTTTCCAAAGCGGTGACCAGTTTACACTACCACCAGCAGATGGGGAGTGTTCCAGTTGCTCCCCAACCTCACCAGCACTTGGTATTTCTCTTCTCTTGCAAGCCATTCTGAGGGATATGTCGCAACACCCTGAAATCTAAATGCTGCAAAGGTGGACGTGCTTTTTTTGCATTGTGCAAATATCTAGACTCCTAACCTTCAGTGTGTGACCCCAGAGCCAGCAAAGCGGGCTGGAGCAGGGCCTTTGGCCGGTGTGGTGGGCCAGGCTGCTGCTTCCACGTCCCGGTTGATTTGAGGGTGTTTTCACGCTGGTTCCCAGGATGTCAGGTGCATTTGTGGTGGCATCTGCCTGCCTCCATCTTCTGGAACGATTAGTGTTCTCTTTTTTTTTTTTTTTTTTTTTGCGGTACGCGGGCCTCTCACTGTTGTGGCCTCTCCCGTTGTGGAGCACAGGCTCCGGACGTGCAGGCTCAGTGGCCATGGCTCAAGGGCCCAGCTGCTCCACGGCATGTGGGATCTTCCCGGACTGGGGCACCACGAACCCGTGTCCCCTGCATCGGCAGGCGGACTCCCAACCACTGCGCCACCAGGGAAGCCCGAACGATTAGTGTTCTTTAGCAGAGACTCACACTGGTTGAGAGAACTTATTTGTGGGTTTTCTCTTTCACCTTGAGCGTAATTTACCTGGGCCAGAGTGTGAGCTCATTTCGGGGCGGGGTCCCCCCCTTACACTTCAATACCTTTCAACAAATATTTGTTCCGCACCTCCCATGCCAGGGAAGAAAGCAGAAAAGGAGCCGAGGGTCCCTAACAGCCTTTTTCTGGCCTCTAAAAAAGTCCCTCTGCTCCCTTCGGAGGCAGCGTGTGTTTGGGGCCATGGGAGTCCTTGGGGTGAGCACGCGTAGATGTTCAGATCTTTGTATCTCTTCCCCCTGCTTCCTCCAGACGTATGTTTTTGTGCTACATTTTATTGTCTTTGAATTTCTTGTGCATTGCCCTATCCTGACTTCTGTGTACCATACAGTTCTTTCTTCATCAGTTCCCAGCCTTTTAACTTTAAAAAAAAAAAAAACTCATTATTTGACGTGTGAATGATGGGTAGTAACCACCTGCAACCTTATACCGATCTCTGAAACAGTGATGGAGGATCACACTGTGACCTGTGAGGGCATCGCGGGTTTGTCTGCTTTGCGCTTTTCCCTCCGCGCCTTCCTGCTACTCAAGGTGCCCTCGCTGCCCCTCAGCTGCTGGGCAGGTGGGCCCGCTCGGTGCTTTCCTGGTTTATAGCGCTCCAGCCCGAAAATGAGTCTCTTCACCTTCTCTCTCTCCGTCCACCTCTCTCTCAGCTCAAGCGGGCCAGCAGTGAGGACATGCTCAACAAGCCAGGCGGTGCCGCCGCTTCTGGGGCAGCTCGGCTGAAAAAGACGTCCATGTCTGGGGCCTTCTCCGAACTCGCAGAGAGCCGCCTGAGGGGCCCCCCAGGTAGGAGGGCCCGAGGGGGTGCAGGCGGGAGGGACTCAGGGAGGAGGGACTCAGGTGTGTGTGTGGGGGGGGGGACAGGTGGGAGGGACCCAGGTAGGGGGCGCAGGTGAGAGGGACCCAGGTCGAAGGGACCCAGGCAGGAAGGGAGCCAGGTCAGAGGGACCCAGGCGGGCCTTTTCTTGTCCATTTGAAAGCACCTCGGGCATTCACGCCTCCTTCCCCATCAGATACTTACCGAGCACTTAACTCTGAGTAAGGAACTGGTTCAGGCGACAACATCCCACAACAGGAGATGGGATGATCCACAAAAGGAAGCAAAGAGGCAGTGGGGAGCCCTGTGCTTCCCCCGGTCCCTCTGGTTGCCCATCATCTAGCACGTGTTGCGTCCCTGGAGATCCGGGCAGGGTGGTGCAGGCTCTGGGGCCGTCTTGGTGTCTTCGTGGTGCTCCGCGTGTCAGATAAGCGAGTCAGTGCGTAAGTCCCTGGCAGAGGCAGGGGCACAGCATCTGTCTTGGGCCCTACGGAAGTCAGGAAGGTCCTCTCGGAAGGCTGTTCAGACTTGTTTAGATGCCAGTGGCCTCGGGAAACCCTGGGCTTTCTCAGTGTTACTAGTTCTTTTTGAGAAACTGAAAAGGTTTTTTTTTTTTTTTCTAAGTTTTAAAAATATTGATTTATTAATTCACTTAAAAATAACAGAAATAAAATTAAACCCATTACATGTTAACATAATTACCATATCTTTATGAAAAATTTTCAAAAACAAAATAATATTGAGAAAAATGGCATTTTATATCTTTGCATATCTTTTTGTTTTAGAATTTTATTTTTTTATACAGCAGGTTCTTATTAGTTATCTATTTTATACATATTAGTGTATATATGTCAATCCCAGTCTCCCAATTCATCCCACCACCACCAACCCCCCTCCACTTTCCCCCCTTGCTGTCCATACGTTTGTTCTCTACATCTGTGTCTCTATTTCTGCCTTGCAAACCAGTTCACCTGTACCATTTTTCTAGGTACCACATATGTGTGTTAATATACGATATTTGTTTTTCTCTTTCTGACTTACTTCACTCTGTATGGCAGTCTTTAGATCCATCCACGTCTCAACAAATGACCCAATTTCGTTCCTTTTTATGGCTGAGTAGTATTCCATTGTATATATGTACCACATCTTCTTTATCCATTTGTCTGTCAATGAATGACCTGGCTATTATAACTAGTGCTGCAATGAACATTGGGGTGCATGTGTCTTTTTGAATTATGGTTTTCTCTGGGTATATGCCCAGTAGTGGGATTGCTGGGTCATATGGTAATTCTATTTTTAGTTTTTTAAGGCACCTCCATACTGTTCTCCATAGTGGCTGTATCAATTTACATTGCCACCAACAGTGCAAGAGGGTTCCCTTTTCTCCACACCCTCTCCAGCATTTGTTGTTTGTAGATTTTCCGATGATGCCCATTCTGACCGGTATGAGGTGATACCTCATTGTAGTTTTGATTTGCATTTCTCTAATAATTAGTGATGTTGAGCAGCTTTTCATGTGCCTCTTGGCCATCTGTGTCTTCTTTGGAGAAATGTCTATTTAGGTCTTCTGCCCATTTTTGGATAATATTGAGCTCCATGAGCTGTTTATATATTTTGGAGATTAATCCTTTGTCCGTTGATTCGTTGGCAAATATTTTCTCCCATTCTGAGGGTTGTCTTTTTGTCTTGTTTGTAGTTTCCTTTGCTTTGCAAAAGCTTTTAAGTGTCATTATGTCCCATTTGTTTATTTTTGTTTTTATTTCCCTTACTCTAGGAGGTGGATCAAAAAAGATTTTGCTGTGATTTATGTCAAAGAGTGTTCTTTCTATGTTTTCCTCTAAGAGTTTTATAGTGTCCGGTCTTACATTTTGGTCTCTAATCCATTTTGTGTTTATTTTTGTGTATGGTGTGAGGGAGTGTTCTAATTTCATTCTTTCGAAAAGGTTTTTTTTAAACCATTATACTTGAGTCCAGAGTATAGGAAACTTAAAACATGAGAGAATGTATTTCATTTTCTTTTGCAGCACATAGATAAGAAAGCTAAGCTTTCCCTGGTCTAACTCACAATGCAGCTCAATTAATAATAGTAATGTACTGCTCAATTGTCTAAGGTGGGAACACAGCTGAAATATGACATTACTCATTTATAATAGGAGGTGAATGGTAGGCTACTTGTGATTTTTGCACTGTTACATAAAGTATCACAATCCAGATTAGCTTTCCAAAGGTGTATTTTAATTTATTTAGTTTTCAAAAAGTTGAATCTGTGAAGAATATATGTGGCTTTTTTTCCTAGGATGCAGGGGAATGGCCTTGTGTTTCTACATAATGGTTTTACTTTTTTTTTTTTTAACTTGACACTTCATTATTTTTTTTAATTTTTATTTATTTATTTTCTTTTATTATTTTTTTGGCTGCGTTGGGTCTCAATTGCGGCACGTGGGATCTTCCCTGAGGCATGCGGGATCTTTCGTCGCAGTGTGCGGGCTCTTTATCGTGGCGCGTGGGCTTCTCTCTAGTTGTGGCGTGCAGGTTTTTCTCTCTCTGGTTGTGGTGCATGGGCTCTGCAGTTTGCGGCACTTGGGCTCTCTAGCTGTGGCACATGGGCTTAGTTGCCCCGCAGCATGTGGGTCTTAGTTCCACTACCAGGGATTGAACCTGTGTCCCCTGCATTGGAAGGAGGATTCTTAACCACTGGACCACCAGGGAAGTCCCCACATTTGGTTTGTAAAGTACAACATATGAAAGTACAACTTATTTTCATCAAGGCAGCCTAAGGCTGATTCTAAAAGTTAACAAAGGGACTTCCCTGGTGGCACAGTGGTTAAGAATCCACCTGCCAATGCAGGGGACATGGGTTTCAGCCCTGGTCCGGGAAGATCCCACGTGCCGCAGAGCAACTAAACCCGTGCACCACAGCTACTGAGCCTGAGCTCTAGAGCCCGAGAGCCACAACTACTGAGCCCATGTGCCACAACTGCTGAAGCCCGTGTGCCTAGAGCCCATGCTCTTCAACAAGAGAAGCCACCGCAATGAGAAGCACGTGCACTGCAACGAAGAGTAGCCGTCATTCACTGCAACTAGAGAAAGCCCGTGCATGGCAACGAAGACCCAACGCAGCCCAAAAAATCAATAAATAAATTTATATTAAAATAAAGAAATACATGTATCTCAAGCCAAAGCCAGCACTATGGCCAATGGTGAAATCCTAGAAGTGTTTCCATTAAAATCAAGAATGATTCAAGGTTGCCCACCACGAAATTTTTCTGCAAGTATTAACCTAGGCAGTGAGACAGGAGAGCTATAGGAGTGTATTCATGTTGGAAATGAGGATACAAGATGATGATTTTATGCAGATAATACCGCTGTATGTTTAGAAAAATGCTTAGAATTTCCTGAAAGTTGTATCATGAGAAAAAACTTAGCATGTCCTAAAAATATATTAGATATAAGAGTTCAGTGTGTGGCTGGTTATAGAATATAAAATATCAATAGTTTTCTTATCAGTGACTAGTTAGAAAAGATAATAAGAAATGATCCCATTTATGAAGGAACAAAAGAGGTAAAATACCTAGTAATAAACTTAATATTACCAGAGCCTCTATTTTAAAAACTCTTAAAACCCTTTTAAAGGACATAAAAGAAGATGTAAATACACATGATTCTTGGATAAGAAGACTAAATATAATATAGATTAAATTTAGGGACTTCCCTGGTGGTGCAGTAGTTAAGAATCTGCCTGCCAATGCAGGGGACATGGGTTCGAGCCCTGGTCCGGGAAGATCCCACATGCCTTGGAGCAACTAAGCCCGTGCGCCACAACTACCGAGCCTGCTCTCTAGAGCCTACAAGCCGCAACTACTGAAGCCCACGTGCGTATAGCCCGTGCTCCGCAGCAAGAGAAGCCCCAGCTCGCTGCAACTAGAGAAAGCCCGCAGGCAGCAACAAAGACCCAACACAGCCAAAAAAAAAACAAAGATTAAATTTAGTATACAACAAAGATGTCTAAATTATTCTGTGAATTCATTTTCATCACAATTAAAATATCAGTAGGAATTTGAGAGTAGAAACACTGATAAAATGATACTGGGTTTATCTAAAACAGGGGTTCTCAACTGCAGGTGATTTTGCCCTGCACCCCAACCCACGGAACAAGTGGCAAAGTCTGCAGACATTTTTTGGTTGTCATCACTAGGGGGGTGATACTGACATCTAGTGGGTAGAGGTCAGAATGCTGCTAAATATCCTACAAAGCCCAGGACTTCCTGCCCAAAATGTCAATAGTGCCGCTGTTGATAAACCCTGATCTAGAAGAATAAATATTCTAGAATAACCAGGAAATTTCTGAAAAATTAGTGATCGAGGGACTAACCTCTTCAGTGGAACAGTGGAGACAGTCCAGAATACACTGGAGGATTTCATGTAGGATAAAGGCGGCATTTTATATCAAGACGGATAATTCACTCAGAAATAATAACTGATTGGATTTTTAGGAAAAAATAAAGCTGGATCCCTATCTCACTCCTCCCATCAAAACAAATTCCAAGTGAATTAGAGATTAAATTTTAAAAAGTGAAACCATGAAAGTACAAAGAGAAAACATGAGAGAATCAACTTGTAGTCTCGGCCTTGGAAGGGCCTTTCTAAGTAGGAACAAACACAGAAGCCATAGAGGAAATGGTGAAAAATCACATAAGTATTAAACACTCCTTCGTAAAAAGAGGAAATTATTTGCAAAACATGTAACAAAGGTGGCTTATTTACAAAGAGTTTGTATAAATCAATAAGAAAAAGAAAGTAAAAAAGAAAAAAGAGTAGTTCACATAAAATGGAAATAGATAGCCACTAGAAAGATGCCAAGTCTCACTTAGAGGTAAAGGAATGTAAATCGGAGCAATAATTACGATATACAATTTCCCCTAACAGATTAGTAAAAATTAAAATGATTGAGGCAATTCCCTGGTGGTCC